CCATTCCCCACAATCTGATGCAATTCCTTTTCATAAAACTGATACTATCACCACTGAGCTACTTTATGATAAATCCATTGAACTATTTTTTTTTTATTGAACTGTTTTGACTCTTTCCTTTCTTTTTTTTTTTTTTTAATATATTTTATTGATTTTATACAGAGAGGAAGGGAGAGAGATAGAGAGTTAGAAACATCGATGAGAGAGAGACATCAATCAGCTGCCTCCTGCACATCTCCTACTGGGGATGTGCCCGCAACCCAGGTACATGCCCTTGACCGGAATCGAACCTGGGACCTTTCAGTCCGCAGGCCGACGCTCTATCCACTGAGCCAAACCGGTTTCGGCGACTCTTTCCTTTCTTATCTCTCTTTCAGTTCTTAGCACTCCTGTCTATTCCTTTCTTTTAATTATTTTTTACTAGAGGCCTGGTGCAGAACATTCATGCACTGGGGAGGGGCAGGGAGGGTTGGGTCCCTCAGCCAGGCTTGCACCCTCTTGCAGTCCAGGAGCCCTCAGGGGATGTCCAACTGATGGCTTAGGCCTGGACATCCTTAATGCTGCCACAGAGGCGGGAGAGTCTCCCGCCACCGCTGCTGCGCTCACCATCCATGAGCCTGGCTTCTGGCTGAGTGGTGCTCCCCCTGTGGGAGCACACTGACCACCACGGGGCAGTTCCTACATTGAGCGTCTGCCCCCTGATGACCAGTGCATGTCATAGTGACCAGTCATTCCACTGTTTGGTCAATTTGCATATTAGCCTTTTATTATATAGGATATTATATAGGATTGTTGACAGTATTACAGATGTCCCCTATTTCTCTCTCCCTTGCCCCTTTCCATTCAACCCCCACCCCACACCAGCCCTTTACCACATTATTGTCTATGTCCATGGGTTATGTATATATGGTTTTTGGTTAATCTCTTCCCAACTGCAAAACTGAAACTCTTATACCCATTAAATACTTCCTCATTTTCCCCTCCCCCTGGCTCCTGGTAACTACCATTCTACTTTCTCTTTCTATGAATTTGACTACTATAGATACCTCATAAAAGTGGAATCATGTAGTATTGGTCTTCTTGTGACTAGCTTATTTCACTTAGCAGAATGTCCTTGAGGTGGTTCACTCATGTACCATGACAGGATTTTCTTCCTTTTTTAAGGCTAAATAATACTCCGTTTTAGAGATATACTACATTTTATCTATTCATCTGTCAATATATTATCTTTTATAAACTTTTAAAAAGTACTTTGCTTCACCCTTTACATATGATCATACACATCGTGTGTGTGTGTGGCAACAAGGAGAATGGTTGTGGTGTTATTAAATTGTATCTCTCTAAACTTTATAGCAAAAAGAAGGATCCCTTTTGTCTAGTGAATGATCCTCAACTTTATGTTTTGGATTTTTGTATTTAAGATTTTTTTCTTTAAGTGAAACACATCTTTTATTAGGAATGCAACAACAAAAGGGAAGATTGTGTTTGAAATTAAAGATATCTGTGTACGTCAGGATACACCACCATTTGTCTTACTTCATCCACTCCTTTGTGTTATTAGCATCTCTGTGCTTCTTGTTCCGTGCACTAGAAATTTTGGGGCCCCCTTTTTATAACATGTTTTCTGTGTGTTGATTTTGTCTTTCCAAATGGAATAAATTATTTTTTAAAAATATATTTTTACTAGAGGCCCAGTGCACGAATTCGTGCATAGGTGGGGGCCTGTCGGGAGAAGGAGAAGATAGCAGGAGGGTGGCCGACCGGCCCCTCCCCGATCGGAGCCCGATCAGGACCGGGCCAGCTGGGGGGGAGAGGCTGAGGGCAATTGGCCAGTGGGCCCTGCCCCTCATAGGGGTGGTGAGGGCAGATTGGGTGTCAGCAGCTGGGGGGAGGGGTCGTGTCAGGTTGGCCGGCCAGCCCCACCCCTGATTGGTGTGTGTGGGGGCAATAGAGGACAGAGCTGGCTGAGGGGAGGGGTCGTGGGCTGATTGAGTGGTGGGGGCCGATCGGGGGCCAGCGGCCTGGAGGAGGGACCATGGGTGGTTGGCTGGCCAGCCCTACCCCTGATTGGAAGGGAGGGGCGATCGGGGGTGTTACTGGTTGTGGGGAGCAGTTGCAGGCCAATTGGGGTGGTGGGGGCCCATTGAGGTCAGGGTTGGCCAGGGTGGTTGGCCGGCCGCCCTGCCCTCGATCAGGGTGGGAGAGGCCGATCAGGGGCCGTTCCGGTCATTACAGCATTCCGGTCGTTGGCTTTTTATATATATAAATTGATTTTAGAGAGGAAGGGAGAGGGAGAGAGAGATAGAAACATCAATGATGATATATCGAGAATCATTGATCAGCTGTCTCCTGCACGACCCCCATTGGTGATCGAGCCTGCAACCCAGACATGTACCCTTGACCAGAATCGAACCTGGGACCCTTTAGTTCACAGGCCAACGCTCTATCCACTGAGCCAAACCAGCCAGGGCTGGAATAAATTCTTTAAAGCAGGAGACGTCTTATGTTATATCCTCTAGTCAGGCGCATAATAGAAGTTACTCAGAAACTACATATTCAAGGAAGATTAACTTATCTTGTACTCTTCACTAGTAAAAAATGTTTACATTTGCAGGCGAAGTGTGTTGGAGAGAGAGAGAGAGAGCGCGAGTGAGAGAGAGAGAGAGAGAGTGCGTGAGAGAGAGAGAGAGAGAGAGAGAGAGAGATGTTTCCTGGTGAAAGCCCAGGAAAGAGAGCAGAAGTTGGCATGGGGTCTTTAAGGCTGTGGACTGATAGGGCTGTGGTCCTAAGACTTCTGTGTTGCTGTCCTCAGGAGAATCTCAGATTTCTGCCCTCTTCCTAATCTCCAGCCTGGATTTTCAACTGTCAGCAGGGCAGCTGGATCTGCATGTGCCTTATGCTTCTTAAATATAGTAGCACATAGTAGGAATGTTTGATAAAAGTGATTTTTCATTTAGCTGATAGTATATGAAAGCATTTAACACAGGTCCTGAAATATAGTAGGTACCCAGGAGGTGACAGAAGAGAGTATGTGAGAAATATTTTCAAAGTTAAATCTTTCTCTAGGACCCCTATCTCTATTCCTGTGCCTCCACTCCTACCCTCTTGCTAAGGAGATAGGGGATAGCAACGTGGATTCCACCTTTGGGAAGCTTTCAGTTCCTTGTTTGTGGCTTTAGCTCGGGTGAGAAATATAATCTGCTCCCCTAAAACCTCACCCTGGACTGAAAATGTTCCAAACAAACTAGCCTGTCTTGTCACCTTAGGCAACTTTTTAAAAAAAATTTTTTTTTATTATTTCAGAGAGGGAGATAGGGGCTGCCTCTTGTACACCCCACACGAGAATGAGTCCACCACCAGGGCATGTTCCCTGACCGGGAATCAAACCATGACCTCCTGGTTCATAGGTTGATGTTCAATCACTGAGCCATTCCGGCTGGTCCCAACACCTGTCTATGTAGACAACCTTCTTAGTAGGGACCTAGCTAGCCTTGAGAATCTTAGTGGAGAAGTGTATGAATCTCTAGGGTAGTTGTGGCAAGGTGGTGGGTTTATGGGGTTGGGCATGGGTTTAACTTAGCCAGATAGCTTGTTAGCTGCAAGTATGGAGAAAGGGATAATGTAGAGAGAGAAAAGGGCTCAGCTCTGTGTCATTTTCTGCTCATAGGGAGATACAGGCACTTGTGCCAAGCACAGAGCTCTGGCCTGCTGTGTCTGTCACCTGTGAATGTCACCTCCTGGCTGCTCTGCAAGGCATTTGAGGTTAAGTAGATGAAATAGGGACTCTGGTCGGGCTTCTGGGAAGAGGAGGGAAAAGGATGAGGAAAGATAGGAAGAGTTGAATAACTGGTGGGGGGTATGTGGATTTGCTATCCTTACATGCTTTCTGGAACAAAGTGTAGGTGGAAGGAGGATGAGTGAGTGGGTGGGAGAACTAACAGATGTCACCTGTACCACTTGTTTGTCCCTCAGCCTGGACCCTTGCTTGATATTCTCAATCTCTGGTGTTGTTCCTCTCTCCCATTTAAAGTATCAGCATATATACCCATGTAATTTCATAGCAATGGAATCATACCTTAGTGCTGTTTTTTTCGTTAATACTGTTTTGTAATCCTTTTTTTTTTTTTACCTCCCCCCTATTTTATTGAAATATAATTGAGATATAACATCATGTAAGTTCAAGGTATACAATGTGATGATTTTATATACATACTAGTATATATTGTTAAACGATTACCACATTCATCACCACACATAGTTACCTATTTTTTGTGTGTGGTGAGGACCTTTTTTCATTTGATTGTATTTTATGGACATCTTTTCATGTTAACCAGTACTAGTATATAGAGTAAGTGGTTGAATTATATTTCAATGTGCCGCTATACCATAATATATTTTGTTCTCTAATATTTAATCTATTTATCTCACATATTACCAATGGGGCCTTTCCTGACCATACCCTTTCTTAAAATTGTAACAAACCTCCTTCCTTTCCGATCTCTTTTATTTTTTTCTATAGTATTTAGTACCACTTGATATACATTTAAAAATATTTGTTTATTGTCTAACATGCTCCAACCATTAGAATGTAAGCTTCATGAAGAGAGGATTCCCCACCCCCCCTTTTTCTACTACTGTATACCTAGTGCTTAGAATCGTTCCTGGTCACTATTGGTGCTCAATAAATATTTGTTGAATGAATGAATTTGTTGGACTTTTTGTGTAACTATTACGTTTTAATTTTCAATATTTTTGTTATTATGTACATTCTGTGGTAAATACCCTGGTATATAAATTTAGCACACTTATCTATCTCCTTAGGATAAATTCCAAGAAATGGAATGTCTGAGTTAAAGGATTATGCACATTTAAATCGTCAGTTCATGGAGCCAAACTACCCTTCAGAATGTTAACTACTATCAACAGTGCATGAGATTGCCAATTTCTCCACATTATGAGTAACACTGGGTTGTGTGTTTTTCGTATTCCCCATCTCATAGGTGAGACATGGTCTTGTCACTGTAACATAATAGTTGAGAATGAGACTCTGGAGTCAGCCTTCTGGGGCGTGAATTCTGACTCAGCCACTTACTGTATGTCCTTGGGTAAGTCATTTAACTTCTCTTCCCTCAGTTTTGTCTTGGGTAAAGTGGGTATAATGATAGTATTGATTTCATGGGGGAGTAAATCAGTTCAAGTAAAATGAGTTGAAAGAGTAATTGAGATGTAGCACACAATAAGTATAATTTAATTTAATTTTTTTGAATATTAAAGATACAACATCTTTTCAGAAGTATCTTTTCAGATGTATTTTGGACATTTATATTGTTTCTTTGGATCACTTATTCATGTCCTTCGCACATTTTCCCAGTCATATTTTTCTAATAATTTGTAAGAGTTCAAGTGTTGACTATTATGTATGGTGCAGAATTGTTCCCAGTTTGTCATTTGTCTTTTTATCTTTGTATATGCAGATTTTTTTCCTTCCTGCAAGTTTTACAGTTTTAGGTAATCAAAATAATCTTTTCCTTTGTAGTTTTCTCTGCTACTAGGCCAATCTTTTTTTAAAAAACGTATTTTTATTGATTTCAGAGAGGAAGGGAGAGGGAGAGAGAAATAGAAACATCAATGATGAGAGAGAATCATTGATCTTCTGCCTCCTGCATGCCCCCTCTGCCCCGCTCCAAGGGATCGAGCACATAACCTGGGCATGTGCCCTGACCGGAAGTCAAACTGTGACCTCCTGGTTCATAAGTCAGTGCTCAACTACTGAGTCACACCAGCTGAGCTACTAGACCAATCTTTAGAAAAGTCATGTTTTAATAGACTGACAGCTGTCAGAGGGAGGGGGTATTGAGAGGTGGGGGGGAAGCTGGGTGAGGTAGGTGAAGGGATTAAGCAAAAACAAACAAAACCCAAAACAAAAAAACAACTCATGACACAGACAAAAATATGGTGATTACCCAAGGGAAAAGGGAGTGGGGAGAGGTAGAAGAGGGTAAAGGGGAGGATAAATGATGATGGAATGAGACTAGACTTTGGGTAGTGAACATATAACACTGTATACAGATGATGTATTACAGAATTGTATACCTGAAACCTATATAATTTTATTAACCAATGTCATCCCAATAAATTGAATAAAAGATATAAATATAAATAAAAAAGGCATGTTTTGTTAGCTCAAAATTATAAAAATAGTAACCCATTCTCTTTGAGTACTTTGTGTATATGTGTATTTTTAAATCTTTAAGTCCTTAAACCACCTGAAATTTATTTTCATATGAAGACAGCTATTGTGATCTGGCTCCTCCTTTTTATTTTATTTTTTAAAAAATATTTTTATTTCAGAAAGGAAGGGAGAAGGAGGGAGAAATAGAAACATCAGCGATGAGAAGGAATCATTGATTGGCTGCCTCCTGCACACCTCCTACTGGGAGTCAAGCCTGCAACCCGGGCATTTGCCCTTGATCGGAATCGAACACAGGACCCTTCAGTCTGCAGGCCGACACTCTATCCACTGAGCCATACCAGCGAGGGCTGGCTCTTTCTTTTTAGTTGGATTGTTTCCCAAACCCATTTATTGAAGAAGAATCATCAAGAGTAGGAGCAAGAATGAGGAAGGGCTCTCCTTCAGGAGAATCTGTTTTCCCCTCCTTTAATTTGAAAGTAGGATATCCTAGAGATAGCAAATCTCCATTTCAAACTCAGTCAATAGTCAATAATCATTCTGTTGCTAAGCTGTGGAATGAATATGCTGTGTAAAGCAGTTTGGGATCAGAACTAACAACTTGACTAAGTGATGAGACTGCTCTGCTCGTTGGTGCAATTCTCCACTGGCTCTGGAGGCTCCTCCTAAGTGGATCCTAATTTGGGGACTGATTTGAAGGGGCATTGTTAGTCTGCAATAATAAGTTATGTGTTGTTCGAGAAACAACGTGACTATAGCAGATATTTCCTCACTGCAACCTGGGGGTATTGTTGGGGTATTGATAGGAAGTATTGAATAGTAGTTAACTCACTGTGTTATAGGTCTGCCCTTACTAGCTCTTTTGGAACTCTAGTCCCATCCCATTGCTTGCTACTGACTCAAGATAGAGGGAGGATGATTCTTGTATTGTAGAGCATCCACATATCCCATGGCAGCAGCTACTCTCTGCCAGAGATAATAAAGAAGGGCAACTAACTCTTACATGGCATATATTATGTTCTAGGAACTGTTCTAAGCTACACACACACACACATTTCACGAAGTAGATCCTCTATACTGGATTGAATAGTGTCCACTCAGAACCTGTGAATGTCATTTATTTGGAAATAGAGTCTTTCTAGATGTAATCAAGCTAACATGAAGTCATATTGGATTAGGGTGGGTCCTAATCCAATGACTGGTGTTCTTATAAGAAGAGGGAGACATACCAGAGGGAAGATGGCCAGATGAAGATGGAGGCAGAGATTGAAGTTATGCTGCTACACACCAAGGAATGGCAAAGATAACTAACAACCATCAGAAGCTGGGAGAGGCAAAGAAGGATTCTTCCCTACAGCCTTCTGAGGGAGCACAGCCCTGCTAACACCTTAATTTTTGACTTTTAGCCTTCAAAACTGTGAGAGAATAAATTGAGGAAGCTTAAAGCCACCCAGTTTCTAGACTTTTGTACAGCAGCCCTAAGAAACCAGTATACACTCTTATTATTGTCTTCATTTTCAGGTAAGAAAATGGAGGCCCAGAATGGTCAAATATTTGGAGATCTCTCAAGGCCACTGCTCTGCTGGCTGGGCACTTACCCTGAAGCTCCTGCTGTTGCTGTTGTCAGCTCTCCGCTTTCACCACAGCCGTCAGCTTCTGGTAGTGCTGGGGCTGAGCTGCTGGAATGGCTTCTTTCTGTCACAGCAGGCCCAGCCTTTTCCCCATCCTTGCCCACTTCACATCCTGAAGCAGAAACTCTTCTCATGAGGTTTCTGGCTATAGCCTGATCATTTCACCAGGTCTCTTACTGACTCCAACCCTTCAGGCTTTACTTTTCATTTCCATGCATTGTCAGAGAAGTGTGGGTGACATTTGAGGGGAGGGTCACCCAGCTCCTGGCAATTGAATTATGCTTCTCATTTCTGGCCCGCTTATGCTTCCAAGAATTTGTCAGTAGACAATTCAAGTCTTTATTTTTCTTTGGAGCTTTTAAGATCTCACACATAGCTCATATGGCACATATCACAGTTCATGGCTGTGAGCAGAGAAGGAGCTGTTTCCTGGTAGCACTGTCTGTGGCTGCCCCGGTCACCTGCTCTGGATGAACACAAATCACCACAGTGCCTCTCTCCCCTGCCACTGGGAATGGTGGGGATAAGGACATTATTTGACCCAGCTCTTCAGTGTAGCTCCTTGTCAGCCCATGGTCTCTCTTGCTGGCATCCCAGGAGAGATTTCCTCCTCCTGCATCCTGTTGCTGGCTCTGGAATCTCATCTATTTTCCACTATAGACCTTTTGCTTTGGATCCTGCTCTTATTGTCGGCTCCTCTCACTAGACTGAACTTTGGGAACTCAGGAACCATATATTTTTTTTAAAAAATATGTTTTTATTAGAGAGAGGAAGGGAGAGGGAGGGAGAGATAGAAACATCAACGATGAGAGAGAATCATTGATCGGCTGCCTCTTGCATGTCTCACATTGGGGATCGAGCCCACATCCTGGGCATAAGCCTTGACTGGGAATTGAACTGTGACTTTCCTGGTTCATAGATTGATACTCAACCACTGAGCCATGCTGGCCAGTCAAAACCATATCTTTTGTTTGCTGCTATAGCCCAGGACTGAGCAAAGACCTGGCACTTACTAGCTAATCCCTCAGGAAATGTTCATTGAATAAAGAAATGAATGTTGATCTTGAAGCTTTGGAATCCTAGTTTTTCTTCTTGTTAAAGCCAAGGATCAGCTTAAGAACTTTAGAGGCAGCCCTAACCGGTTTGGCTCAGTGGATAGAGCATCGGCCTGCGGACTAAAAGGTCCCAGGTTCGATTCTGCTCAAGGGCATGTACCTTGGTTGCAGGCACATCCCCAGTAGGGGGTGTGCAGGAGGCAGCTGATCAATGTTTCTCTTATTGATGTTTCTAACTCTTCTATCTCTCTCCCTTCCTCTCTGTAAAAAGTCAATAAAATATATTTTTTAAAAAACAAAACTTTAGAGGCCTACACAATAGAACAATTATCATGTCCCTCATACTTCTGCCTCCAGTATATATATTTTAAGAACAGTATTAAAATAAAACAAGTATAAAGAAAATCCAGCAAAATTACCATGGTGACTGCTTGGATAAATATTAAATAATTTAAAACATTTGTTGTTATTGTCTCTGCTTTGCTAGTTCCCTAAGCACATGCTGTTGGATAATCCTGCCCTGACCAGCCCCTCCCTCACCTTGAACTTCACTTTTCTCTTTATGCCATCTGCTGAAGCTGCCAGCTAGCCCCTTCCACCCCGCAGTGGTGTCTGGCTCCTGAGACCCCAGCCTGGGTTTGTGCCCTGGACTCCCTGGGGGTTTGCCAGAAAATCAAGTAGAGCACTGCTAAGGAGAACTCCCATGCTGACTTGGAATTATAGTCAGCATAGCACATTGTGTTACTTAGGCCATTGTAGTCATAATCTGCTTCCTGATCCTATATGTGGAAAGCTTAGAAATTTTCTTACAGTCTTCCTTCCTGGATTACTGAGAGAGAAGTCAAAACACAGGTTCACTCTGCCTCCTGTATTAAGCTGGGCCTTGCTGGGATCATTCAGAGAAGTAAGGTGTGATTCTGGAAGTGGAGCCCAGACTTCCTACAGGCTGTTCCAAGGTTATGACCATAGTCAAATCCAGTTGCTGCTTGATTCTAAGGAGTTTAAAATAGTATTGGAAACCTCCTAGGAAAAAAATCACCACCGTAACTTCTTGGCTAAGGAAGTGGTGTTTGCTGGCCAGAGTAGAGTGGGTAGCCAAGCCTCGCAAGTTCTATTCTGGACCTGTTGATTTGAGGTGTGACATTCAGCATTTTGAGATTATGTTCTGGAACTCTGATGGTTTCTCATCTCAGCATAGCGAGTGATACGGGCTGTGTTTGCAGGGAATTTGATGTCCCTTTGAATTTCCAGGCTCTTTAAATACAGCCCCTTCCGTTCCCCCCTCCCCATACACACTTAATATAGGAACCCAGCAACATTATCCACATTTTATTTGAACTTATTTAATCAGAATTGCTTTCCTTTTTAGCGGTGTGATTAGATCAGCTCCTCTAAGGGATGAAAACGTTAGGGTTTAGGAAAGGAAGGAAAGGTTTATGCAGGGCACATACCTTCGCCTTGGACAGCCAGGGAGTAACATGAGGGCACCAGGTACATGATGTGCTAGATGAGGAAGAACAAACTCAAATCCCTGGAGAGCCAGGCACATAATTAGATGCTTTTCATATATTTTCTTATTTAGTTACCATAATGCAAACCAATAAATTATCATTTTTGCACGGGCAAGCTGAAAGTCATAGAACTTATGTAACTTACCCAAGGTCAGACAGTGAGTAAAAGGCTGAGCTAGGATTGATTTCTCCTCAGGTCTGTCCACTTCCAAAGCCCATGCTGTTATCATAGCTCTTGTCTCTCTGACAAGATTTAGCAAAAGAAGGTGGGCAAAAAAAGAGAAGATGGGGAGATGCCATCTTTCTGTGCCTCACAGTTTTGCTTGTTGAGACCTGTTTAGCCAGAGCGTCCTGTTTATAGAAAACTAGGTTCTATATATAGAGATGCTACAACAACATATGTGGGAAAGATACCAATTGGCTGTAGGGGAGGGTTAAAAAAAGCCTTTGTTCTTTACCTCTAGGTCTCATTGCAGTGTAACCCACAAGTGTCAAAACACCACTGGCAACACTGGTTTAGTGTGTAAGAGGCCCTGTTCTATTCAAATAAAATCTGTTGGTCTATCCCAAGGAGTAAATAAGTCATGATGGGGCAGAGGTGAGGGTGTGGTGTGCCCTTACTGCATTTCCTGGAGCTGGTGGCACCTGTTATGTGACTATTGCAGTGAATTATTACTGAGTAAACAAGAGGTGTCTCTCTCTTGCTTTTCTAAGGGAGACCAGATGGCAGTGGGTGTTGGCCAAGATCCAGGGGATCCTGGCCTCTGCGCTGGCAGAATAGACAGCTTGAGAGGTCAGGTGATGGAATAAGAAGAGACAGAGCTAGTCTATCAACTGATGTAATCTTAGGGGACCTAGAATGTGTCCTGCCCCTCAAAGACTTGCCTCAGCGATTTGCTATTGTTTGGAGTTCCACAGTGAAACTTTCGCCCTAGATTTAAGTCTTTGAGACCCTACTAAAAATGAGACTCCAGGAAGGGGTTTGATTGTGAAGCATCCTGGTCATCTAAGTGGAAGTGTGATTCATCTTATGAGATTAATTTCTGAGAACTAGATTAAGGCAAGGGACTGAGAGGAGAGGACACTGTGCTCCTAGTCATAGGGACAGGAGGGAGACACCACTGAGTTGGATATAAAGGCTCTGCAAAGAGAAGTTGGGTCCCTAAAGAAACATTTTGCTTCCTTCACAATTTTGTCTGAGAGAAAACTAGCAGCTGAGGGTGGTGGGGATGGAGGCTCTTGACCACAAGAAAGGGTGTGGGACAGAGATTTCCTACCTGCATGCTGGGTATGCAGGCACATTATTGTCTGGAGAGCAGCTGACAGGCAAAATGTAACAAGGAGTGCAGGACCTTTGGGTCTGTGGTTTGCTGTTATGTCCTCAGACAAGACTGTCACAGATCTTAGGAAGCAAGAGGAAGCTTCACAGAAATGATGTAAAGTGGTGGCGCAAAAGAGGCCGCTGATGACAACATGGGCAGGGTACTTCCTCAATAACCACTGGTCACAGACAACTTGTGGTCTTGATTTCCCAATGAGTTGTGCTCAGCTAGGGCTTTATGGGAAGGCAAAATAAGTCATGTCAAAAGCAATGACAAAGCACTTGGGTATACGTGCACGTTCCCTTGATCACTAACTTTATGGAGCCAAAATAGCTAATTCAGAGGCTGCCAGCATAGCACCTGTGATTCAGATCTACAACTTTTTGGCCTGAGTTTCTTCAAAGTGAGAGAGCCTTCCTAATTGTGCATCTTCATGATCTGAATTTTCATATTTTTTCCTCCCCCAGGGGATCTCTGACAGAGGCAACCCAAACCTCTGCCTTTCCCAGCTCCTCACAGATGGATTCATGGATGTCCTTCACTCTTAGGCTTCAACTTTACTCTGTTTACTTTCCTACCCTAAGTCGAGAGCATTTTCTTTTTTTAAAATATATTTTATTGATTTTTTTACAGAGAGGAAGAGAGAGTGATTGAGAGTTAGAAACATCGATGAGAGGGAAGCATCGATCAGCTGCCTCCTGCACACCTCCTACTGGGGATGTGCCCACAACCAAGGTACATGCTCTTGAGCAGAGTCGAACCTGGGACCTTTCAGCCTGCAGGCCGACGCTCTATCCACTGAGCCAAACCGGTTATGGCAACAGCATTTTCTTTTTAATTTTTTTTTTTAATTTTTATTGATTTCAGAGAAGAAGGGAGAGGAAGAGAGAGATAGAAACATCAGTGATGACAGAGAAGCATTGATTGGCTGCCTTCTGCACGCCCCCTGCTGGGGATCAAACCCAGGACCCTTCATTCCACAGGCTGACCCTCTATCCACTGAGCCAGACCAGCTAGGCAAGAGCATTTTCTTTTGATCAGACTTTTGGTTTCATTCAGACCACTGGTGTTCTTACTCATTTCTTCTGGCATATTTTCCTAGAGAGCTGTCCTAGAAATGATCTCTATCACTCACCTCCTAAAGTTTGACAAGGTTTGGACTTCCATCCTTACTGGAATGAGTACAATGCTGTGGAGGTTTCTGGAAGTGCCATACCCCATCCTTTCCCCCACAATCTCTGTAGCCCATACACAAGATCGAATGATGTAGCTGGATCTGCTGATCACCAAGATTTTGGAGCCAGTACCTCCAATAGGGAGGGACTCCTGGCCATGTGTACTATGCCCTAAATGACAATCTGTCTCCCCTCCATGTCACCTATATTTTGGCTTTTTATTAAGAGGATCAAGCTCTGTCCAATTGCTTTATTCAAACCCCCTCGCCATGTCAGGACTCCACCCCTTTGTCAGTTCCCTTACCAGGGGCTGTGGCCTTTGCTTTGCAGCCTCCTTAGCCCAGGTCTCTTCTCTGATACTAGAGCCTTTTCTTACATCTAGGTTTTGGTAGGTAGAGTCCTGTTCACCCACAAATCTCCCAGTGTTGACCACTCTGAATTCTGCTTGCTACTTTTTGGCTAATTGGATGTCATACTGATATGTCCAGCTGCATTTCTGGAACAAGGTTCTTAGCTTAGGCCCCTATCCTGAATTTCATGCTAGCTCTCCAGCTGCCTCTGCCTCAAAAAAGAGCTTTTAATACGCATTTATAAAGCTTCAGAAGGAGATAGAGAATATGACATTTTCCAAATTTATTTGTTTAGAGAGCCAGTCCTGGCTGGTGTTTGAGCATCAACCTACGAACCAGGAGGTCACTGTTTGATTGCTGGTCTGGGTATGTGCCCGGGTTGTAGGCTTGATCCCCAATAGGGGGCATGCAGAAGGCATCTGATGTTTTTCTATTTCTCTCTCTTCCTCTCTTTCAAAAATGAATTAAAAAATACATTTAATTAGAGAACCATTTTATTTTCTGAAGGAATATTTATTAAAATCTCACAGAATATGGAGTTTGGTGGAGCACAGTTTTGGAAAGTGTGAACCTTTTCCCCAAAGGAATGGGTGGCAAATGGAGGAATTCCAGGCGAAGGTAATGTGACTAACAGTGAAAAAGATTCTGTGGGGTTGGAAATTTCTCCTTGCGTTCTTCATTGAACAAATCCACTGAACCACATACTATTTACCAGTCTCTGCTGGAGTCACACCAGTGTCTGACTGTTTACTGTGTGTCTGCATAAGGCCAGTTCTGACCTGGAGTGGAGCCTAAGGTGAGGAGGAAGTAGATATTCTACATTCTTTTTCCCACATTTGGATCCACTTCCCCTTTCCTCCAGCTGAAACAGGAAGTGGTGAGTGGGGTGATGCCATTATGGCCACAGACATCATTAGCTTCTGGATCCAAGGAAGGAGGGCTTCTGAGGCTTCTTTCCCCATGTTTGACCTCTTCCAGGATTTCTCAAGCACTCCTCCTACTCCAGGACTATTTATCTCAGCATCAGTCTCAAGTCTCACTGCTCAGGAGTTCAGGATTTTGACTTTACATATAGGGATCTCTGCCAAGTGAGATGGAGCTCATTCTTATGGAAAAACTGTGACGTTCTGTATTTTCTACTTTTCCTCCTCTTCTATAGCTCATAGGAAGTCCGGATTATAATAATTTTTTCAACCTCTCAATGAGATAAACCCTGTTCTGTGGGCAGGATGATCTTGCAGGTGGAGATCAATTTGGTAGGGAGGGTGATCAAGTGTCAGGAACTCAAGCTGGCATAGGTGGTAACCAAAGAGGAAATCAGTCACTTCCTTTGTGTGTGATTCTCAACCAGTACAGACTGGAAGAAACTACTTGAAGCAGATAGAAATCTCTTAAGTTTTGTGACTAAGAAATTACTAGGTCTCTTTGAGACCCTGATGTATATGTCTTTACTGTCATTAGTGAGATCTTTGGTCAGCCAGTCTTGACTCAGTTGGCTGAGCTAATCATAAACAAAATAGATGGAAAGACTCAGCTTTTTAAAATATATATATATTTTTTTATTAATTTCAGAGAGGAAGGGAGAGAGAGAGAGAGAGAGATAGAAACATCAATGATGAGAGAGAATCATTGGTCGGCTGCCTCCTGCACGCCCCCTACTGGGGATCAAGACCAGAGCCTGTATATGTGCTCTTGACTGCAATTGAACCCTTCAGTCTGCAGGCTGATGCTCTATCCACTGAGCCAAACCAGCTTGGGCAAGACTCAGCTTTTAGGTATGCCCTTAGGTATGATGTTCTTTGAACATCCAACAACTGGTATTCTTTACTCGTAAGCTCCATCCTAAGAGCCTTGGCCTATGGCACTTCTCCATTTCTGCCCCTTCTTCTGAAAGTCTTAACTGTGACGATCAGGGAGTGAGCATTTAGAGATCTTAAATAGAGCCAGTCAGTTATTTGGTCAGGCTGTAGGTATTTATAAGTATTAGTTGGCCTATAACTGCAAAAGGCTTGTTTTCTCTGACTAATCTTTGCCTAACAGGCTCCCTACATAAAGACATTCCTTAAGATTCTGTTCCTAGCTCTCTTCTCTCCTCCCTCTACTATCCCTGGGTGATGTCATTTATGCTTATGGTTTTAGCTACCACTGATATGTCAGAAACTCTTAAATCTCTATCTCCAACTTAAATTTCTCTTCTGAGTTCCCGAATCACAATGGCCAAACAGTATTGATGTTATAACCTGGATGGCTCTTAGGCAGTTTTAAATCAACATATCCCAAACCAAATTATATTCCTTATCAACCCATTCTCTTCTCCCTATTCCCCTATTCCTTCCTATTCTTATTCCTCCTCCTTTGTTTCTGGGCTTAGTAAATTTGTTTCTTTTTCTTTTTTAAAATTTTTTCCTGCCCTAGCCAGTTTGGCTCAGTGGATAGAGCGTCGGCCTGCGGACTCAAGGGTCCAGGGTTCGATTCTGGTCAAGGGCATGTACCTTGCCTGCGGGCACATCCCCGGTGGGGGTTGTGCAGCAGGCAGCTGATCGATGTTTCTCTCTTGTCAATGTTTCTGACTCTCTATCCCTCTCTCTTCTTATCTGTAAAAACATCAATAAAATATATTAAAAACAAGTTTTCCCCCTGCATTTAT